TCTTTTGTATATGGATGTCCATTGTTCCAGCAACATTTGTTGAAAAGACTATGCTTTCACAGTTCCATTGTCTTAAAACCTTTGTTGAAACCAATTGACCATAAATGTAATTTCAGACTCTCAATTCTATTCCATTGAACTACATAGGCATCCTTATACTAATGCCTTGATTATTATAGCTTTGTAGTAAGTTTTGAAATGGGGAAGTGTGAGTCCTGCAATTTTTGGTTCTTTTTCGAGATTTTTTTGGCTATTCTAGGTTCTCTGTGTTTATATATCAATTTTAGGATCAGTTTTTAATTTCTTGGGGAAAAAAAGCCAGCAGGAATTATAATAGGAATACACTGAATCCATAGATCAATTTGGGGATGTTGCCATCTTAACAATATTAAGTCCTGTGATCCATGAATATGGAATGTCTTTCCATTTATTTAGCTCCTCTAACAATGTTCTGTAGTTTCCAATGTAGAAGTCTTGCACTTCTTTTGTTAAATTTATTCCTAAGCATTTTATTCTTTTTGATGCTATTGTGAATTGTTTTCTTAATTCCATTTTCAAATTGTTCATTGCTAGTGTACAGAGATCAACTGATTTTTACATACTGATTTTGTATCCTGCAATCTTGTTGAACTTATTATTGCTAGTAGTTTTTTAGTGGTTCCTCAGGATTTTCTCTATATGAAATCTTGAGGAACCACAATATGTCATCTGTCAATAAAGATAGTTTTATTTCTTCCTTTCCAATTTGGCTGTGTGTTATTTTTCTTGCCTAACTGTCCTGACTAGAATCGTCAGTGGAATGTTGAATGGAAGTAGTGAGAACAGTCATCCTGGAGGATCTTGTTCCTGTTTCAAGCACTTTTAAATAGAAGTAAATGTTTCAGATGAAGTGGAAGCTCCTTTCAGATCCAAACCCCAAATCCTAATCTCCTTCCCCTCCACAGCCCCCATAAGGAACAACTATCATGAATTGGATGCATTTTCTATCCGTGGATGTCTGTGTTTTCTGTGTGTGCATATGTGTGTGTTGTATATCGACAAATAATATGAAGTATTGTTCTGTGCATATGTTATTTTTATTCTATAAAAATGATTTTATACCAAATATGCTAATATTTTTGCAATTTTTAAATTCAACACGAACAGTTTCAAGATATATTCATACATATATATAATCTATCATAAGAATATATTCTATTAATGCATTTCTCTATTAGTGGGTATTTAGATAACTTTCAGTGATTTTTATTATAAATAATGCTGCATTAAAAACTTTTCACGTGTCCTTGTAATTATATGTGAGAACTTATCTACAGTAGATATTTTAAAGGGCTATTTTTAGGCGATATAGAAACTACATTTTGTATTTTATTAGGCAATGTCAAGTTGCTTTAAAATTTGTGACTTGTTTATTCCTGGAATTTTCCATTTAATATTTTCAGACTGTGACTGACTATGGGTAACTGAAACCAGGAAAACCAAAACAACAGATAAGAGGTCACTACTGTACTTCAATAAAGTTTCAGAATTTTAGCCATAAAGATAATGTATCTGCTTCCTTAGATATAGTCCTAGGGACTTTATAATTTTTTTATTGTATTGTGAATGGACTCTTTATTCTGTTAATTTTTATTATATTTATTGATCTTATATCTCTTTTCAAACCTTATACTTCTTATTCCCTATTAGTTCTACCAGCTTGACCATTGATTCTAGAGTTGATGATCATATTGTCTGAAAAAAATAAAAATTATACCTCTTCTTTCCCAGTAGTTATAGTTCTTATTCTTTTTTTATTTTGGAGCTGGGCAGGAATGGAAGTCTTATATAATTAGATGTGATCTCCAATGAAATGTTGAATTTTGACTGAGTTAGTAGAAATTCTACTCATTTCAGATTTTAATGAGTGGTCTTAAACTTTAAGTTACATCCTATCACTTATCACCTAATCTGAGATACTTTTTTGAGTGAACAGCACCCAGGGAGACAGGCATAAACCAAGACCCTACTAATTGATCAAAGAGCTGAAAAGCGATAGAGAACATTTGAGTAATGCAATTTAAAAACGGACCTAATGGGCATACATTGAACTTCGTACTTCCAAGTGGCAGAATATAATTTTTTTTGAAGTACTATGAAAACTTTACAAAATTAACCATAAAACTGTGGCCATAAAACAAGTTTTAACAAACGCTGAAGGGTAGAAAGCAGGCAGAACATGTTCTCTGACCATAAAACAATAAGGTTAGAAATTAATATTAAAGAGATAACTAGAGAATCTCCAATTTTGTAAAATTAAACACACATTTCTATTTAAATAAACCTTTAATCAGAAAGAAATAAAAATGAAAATTAGGAAATACTTTAAACTAAATGAGAGTGAATATTCTACATTTCAAATCTTGTGGGATGCTGGTAAATAGTATTAAAAAGGAGATTTATAGGCTTAAAAAAAATCTAAGAAAAGAAAGAAGGCTGGAAAATTAAATGAGCTAAGCATCCATCTCAGGAAGTTAGGGGAAAAACTGTAGCAACGAAAGTAGAAAAAAGAAAATCATAAAAGTAACACCAGAAATTGACGAAATATAAAACCAATATAAAATAGAAAGGATGAACAAAACCAAAAGCTGGTTTTTTGAAAAGTCTAATAACATCAACAAACCTCTAGTAAAAATAATAAAGACCAAAAATTGAAGGCACAAATAACCACTATCAGAAAAGACAAAGAGGTTATCACTACAGATGCTAGAGACATAAAAAAGAAAACAAAGATAGTCTAAAAACCATTAAGCCAATATATTTTAAAATTTAGATGAAATACATACTTAGAAAAACATAATAGCAAAATTGACACAAGAAGAAACAGAATGCTGAGTATATCTATAACTATCAAGGAAACTGAAGCAGTAGTCAAAACACTTCACAAAGAATACTCTAGGCCCAGCAAAGGGCACTCCAACCTTAGACAAATTTTCCTGGAGAACAGAAAAATAAAGAATATTTCCCAACATGTTTTATGATACGAGTTTCCAACAAGGACATCACGAGAAAGAAAAATAACAGGCCAATCTCACTTATGAATAAAGATGCAAAAGTCCTAAAGAGAATCAGTGGAAACTGATTCTTGCAATATATTAATCATGATCAAGATGAGTTTATTCCAAGAATGAAAGGTTAGTTGACAGTTAAACAAATAAATTAATATAGTAACACACACTAACAGATTAAAAGGGAATCTTATTAGATGCAGAAAAGTGTTTGATAAAATTTGCCATCCACTTTGCAAACTAAAAATTGTAGGAAATTTTTAATCGAATAAAGTGCATCTACCCAAAACCTTCAGTAAACACCATACCTAATAGTGAAAAGTTACAAGCTTTCCCTCTCAGATGAGGAAGAAGACAAGGATTCCTGTGATCAGCTCTTTTATTCAACATTGTCCTAGATGCCCTATCCAACATAAGAAGGCAAGGCAAAGAAGGGAGGAGAGGAAAGAAAAGATTGGAAAGGAAGAGACAAAGCTGTCATTATTCATAGACATGACTGCATATGTGAAAAACCCAAAAGATCTATGAATAAACTCTTTTAATTAATAAGCGGGTTTAGCAAGGTCTCTGGATTTAAAATGGCAATATATAAAAAACAATCATATTTACGTATACCAGCAACAAACAATTAGACAATCAAAACTGAAGAAGGAGGCCATTTACAATAGCATTAAGAATTAAGTGGCACCGAAGGCCAAAGCTAACAAAAATCTGAAAGACTTCTATGAAGACAGTAATATAAATTTATTTAGAGACAAAGAAGACCTAAATAAATGGAAAGACATAATCTGTTAATAGACCTGAAGACTCAATATTGTAGAAATGTCATTTCTTCTTAAGTTGATCTATAGATCCAGCATTATCCCAATCAAAATCCCAAAGCATTTTTGCAGAACACTTTAAATTTTATATTGAAGTGTAAAGGGCCAAGAATAGCAAAGCGCTCATAAAAGAGGGACAAGGTAAGAAGACTTGCTTTACCAGTGTTCAAGGCCCCTCCATGAGACCACGCACAAAAACAAACAAACAAAATTCCTAGTGGAATTGTGAAAGGCATAACTATAAAATCTTCAGAAGATAATATCTGAGAACATCAACATAACCCCAAAGTAGGGAATAATTTCTTAATCAAGAAATAAAAACCATGCACTAAGCAAAAAGGAAAAGTGATAAATTGAACTACTCTAATATTAAAGATTTTTATGCATCAAAATATACCAAAAAGAGAAGCCAAGAAGTGGAAAATACATGTGTAGCACAAATAAGTGACAGAGAACTAGTGCCCAAAGTACTAAGAACTCATAGAAATCAGTAAGAAAAAGATAGCAGACAGACTTGAACAGACACCTCACAAAAGAAGAAATCCAAATGGACAATAAACGTATGAAAGATTATTAGCAATCAAGGAAATGCAAATTAAGACCTATCACTATACACCCACGAGATGAGCCAAAATTGGAAAGTTGGACAACATCAAGAGTGGTGAGGTTATGGAACAAGAACTCTTTTCCTGCTGATGGCTGCACCTTTGCACATTTAGAAGAATGTTCACAGTGGTATTATTTGTAATAGCCCCACACTGGAAACATAATTACTAGAATAAATCAATTATACGGTGTATTTTTACACAATGAAATTCTATGCAGTATACCACAGCTACGCATAGTACACATTAAGTAGAAGGAAAAAGGCAAAACACAAAAGAACACATATAATTCATTTATATAAACATTTTGAACATTTAAATAAAGTTCAAAAATTGGCAAGACTATGCATTATCATTTAGAAATGAATACATAGGCATTTATTGAAATTTATTAGGGGGCTTTATATTTTATTAAATTTTGTAAATGTTCAATGTTTATTGAAAAGAGTATGTATTCTTTTAATTGAAGGATTTTATATACACACAAATGCAATATATAAATACATATATAAATATAGTAAGCATACCATGTCTATGAAGATGATGCATCAATGTCATTAATTTGCTTGACAAATTAATTTAATTAATCTTAATTTGTCTGACAAAAGTTTATGTTAAAAAAATTCCTGCCATGATTGCAGATTTGTCAGTTTCTCCTTTTAGTTCTCTATTTTTGCTTCATATTTTTCCAGACTATGTAGTTAGTTGTATACATGTTCATGACTGTAATGTTTTCCTAGTGGGTTTTTCTTTGTGATGCAATAAGATGCCTGCATTAATGTCCTTGTCAACGCTACTCTATTTAAAGAATACTTTTGCTGCTGTTGTTTAGAACTTGCATGGTATATCTCCTTTTATCCCTTTGTTTTCTATACTTTGTTTCGTTTTAACTGTTTTTTAATATGTTTGTTTTCAACTGTCTTGGTAATAATGCACTGGCCAGCTAGTGAGATAGCCATGTGCTCAGATTAGGTTAGAGCTGGTTATATTACAATATTCTCCAGTAACCTAGCCTGGCCCATCAGCATATTTCATTTTGAGGCTGTCTCCAGGAAATCATCTCTCTGGGCCCCACAGCATTTTTAAAATCAGGATTTTGTTGATAGAAGGCAAGTTACTTTATTTTTCTATTCTTTTCATTTGTCAAAATAGATTAAAGCATCAGTTTTTTATATTAGAAAATTGGTCATTTTCAGATTAAAAATTTAAAACAGATGTCATTATTGATATCACTTCATTTTTAAATGTGATTGCTGACTTATGACCATTGGGTTTTTTTCCTCTTTTTTCTTATTAAAAGCTTCAAAGAAGCATTTCCAAGCAAAATTTTCCCATTTTGTGGGCTGGTAACTTTGTAAATGATGGGGTTTATCAGAATTGGAGAAGGGGATTCAGCTGAAAGAGGAGGGAGGTTGGATTCAATCAGAGCTGTGACTGGGTTGAGGGTGGGGCTGAGTGAATTAGAATTTTGATGCTAAATATAGAGCCTGATAATCACATGATTTTTCATTTAGAGATTCTTTCCTGAAAAGAAATCATCTTTCTGGGTCCTGATATTTCTTCATTTCAAATCTGGATTTCAGACTAGCAGAATATAAATTACTTTTTTCTCCTTTAAAATATAAAACATATTAAGGCAATATTTTTAACATCAAAATGTGATTTCTTTTTTCCTGTTAAAACTCACTCATTCATTCATTCACTTATCCACTCATTTGGAAAATGTTTACAGACACCTGCTGGTGCCAGTCACTGTTTCAGATGCTTGGCCTACGTCACTGGGCAAAACAAAGATTCCTGCCCTTGTAGAATTTATATTCTGCACAGGATAGGCAGAGAAAGAAATAATATAAACATAACTAAATTATATAGGATCACAGAAGATTTATGTGCTACATAAAAAAGGAAGTAGAGCTTGATAAGAGAGAGAAGGGCTGCAGGATGTTGGGGACCGGGGGGAAGATGGTTGCAACTTTAAATAGGGCTGTCATGGTCGGTTGAGCTCAGCTAACAAAGATTTCAATAAGACAGGAAAGTGTTTTTGGCCCAGAAAATAGCTAATAGAAGGGCCCTAAGACAGGAGCTCTGCTCAGACAACCCCAGGAAGGCATATAGCCCAGAAGCATGAGCAAGAGAGGAGGTCAACTAGGCAGAGCCTTGTAGGTCACTGCAAGCACCTCTGACTTTCACTGTGAGGGAAATGGGAGGCCATGCCTCCCCAGTGACTGGATCCCCTTTTCACCCAATCTCATGCAATTGCATTAGTAACTTTTAAAAATTCCTGCCAATCTGATGCTGTAGTGTGATAATTCATTGTTTGTTTACTTTCATTTTCCTAATAGGAAGGTTGAGTGTCTTTCATGTTTGTTGTCTGTTTGGAATTGCTTTTTTGAATGGCCTGTTTCTATTTTTTGCCCGTTTTTTTACTGGGTAGTTTGTATTTTTTATGTTATGTATGTTAGTAGTAGTAGTCCTAGTAGTAGTACCCTCTCATATGTTATAGGCATTACAGAATTTATCTGCTAATCTAGCATTTATCTTTTGACTCCATTTTGGGCATCTTCTGCCATAAAACTAAATTTTTATATAAATGAATTTTTAAAATTATTTCTTTTACAGCTCTTAGGTATTCTGCCTTGATCAAAAGGTCTTTACAAACCCTATGTTGTGCAAACAGACTTTTAAATTTTCTTTTTAGATTTTTATGGTTTCTCTTTTTCCTTTTGGGTGTTTAATTCAACTTGATGTAGTGCTTGTATAAGCTTTGAAGCTGTAATTCCTACATTACATCTTGCCATAAGAATAGCTAGTTTTGTAATCAGTTATTATAGAAAACATCTTTTTCACATTCACATACCTTTGTCATCTTAAAATGAAGGAGCATTTCTTCTTTCTTTTCTTTTTTGCTGAGGAAGATTTGCCCTGAGCTAACATTCGTTGCCAAGCTTCCTTTTTTTTCCTGTTTTACATGGGCTACCACCACAGCATCACCATTAACAGATGGGTGGTATAGGTCTGCACCTGGGATCCAAACTTAGGCTTCCAGGGTGGAGAGCACCAAACTTAACCACTAGGTCACCAGGGCTGGCCCAAGGAGCATTTTCTAAGGTTAAGATAAAGTACACCATGTCCAAGAGCTAATAAGAATGACCCAAGAGGTCCAGCCCCAGTGTCCTAGTGGTTAAGTTCAGCATGTTCTGCTTTGGTAGCCCGGGTTCAGTTCCCAGGCGTGGACATCACCACTCTGTTAGCAGCTATGATGTGCTGCTGGCCCATATACTAAAAAAAAGAAAGACTGGTACAGATGTTAGCTCAGGGCAAATCTTCCTCAGCCAAAAAAAGGGCAAAAGTGATCTGAAAGGGATGGGTTCATAGATTATGAGATAGGAAATACAGTAGGATGCAGTCACTAAGAAGGCTAGAGGGATAGGGACCCAGAGCATAAGGAGAGGGTTAGGGTCACCTCATCTCTCCTAACACATGGAAAGCTGAGAGTATGGGCACAGTCAAAGGCAGCTTGGTAGATCAACCAGGAGGGGAGATGAGGAGTCCTAGTTTAAGAATTTCTATTTTCCCGGAGAAGTCAGAAAATCACCCATTCTTGGGAAAGAGGATGAGGAGGAATAAAAGAGTGGAAGAGGTGTGTAGATTTGAGGAAATGGGAATGTGGGAAATCATATTATTGCAGAATGGGAAAATAAACAGGAAAGTATAAGAGGATTGGCAGGTAGAATTATGAGCCCAACTAGATTTTTGTGGTAATGGGTTTAAAATGAGAAGTTTAGGGAGGTTACACATGATTTTTGCCAGCAAAGGTAACTGATAGGGAGAATTTTTAAGTTTGTAGTAAATTTACTTTTAGTTTCTTTTTCTAATACTTTCAAACCATTTAAGTCAAAAAGCTTCATAGTTTCCTTTTCTTATTAGTACTTTAAAATCACAAGTAAAAACTTTTTATTTTTCTTATTCATACTTTCAGACCACTTAAGTCAAAGCTTTTAATTTTGTGGCCTGATGATCTCATATGTTGGAGTTAATGAAACTACAGGCATGGTTATTTAATCATGGTTGGTGATCAAAAGATTAAGTGGTGGGTTAGGAGTTAAACAAATTGGGGTAATTGACTAAGGGTTGATAAGGGCAGTTGGAACATAAAAACCAGGGGTAGATTCTATAATTATGTCACCACCTTGCCATTGTTACTTCATTCCTCCACTTCATAGTGCATCATTCATTCATTCATTCAACAAATACTTACTCAGCACCTATTATGTGCCAGGTACTGTTCTATATGCAGAGGATACACCAGTGAACAAGAGAGACAAGGTTCCTGCTTTCCTGGAACTTACGTTCTAATATAGGAAGATAGACAATAATAATAAAAATAATATTAATAATATTAATAACTAACATTTATTTAGCAAGTACTGTTTGCTGAGACAGTTCTAAGCACTTTACAAGTATTAATTCACTTAATCCTTAAAATAACATTATGAGGGACTAGAATCATCCCCATGTTATACATGAGGAATTTGAGGCCACAGAAAGGGGAAATAACTTGCCTAAGTTTACACAGCTAGGAAAGGCAGAACTGGAATTTGGAACTAAGACCATCAGGCTGTAGATCCCATTTTCTCAATGACTTAGCTATGCTGCCTCTCAGACAAGAAACAAGGCAATAAACAAATAATGAACAGAATAAATTCAAGGAGTGTTTAGTACTTTAAAAAAATAAAACAGGGTGATGGGATGGCACATATGTGTTGGAGGGGTAGAGGTTCAAATGTTGATGTCAGGGAAAACCTCACTGAAGAGCTGACATTTAAGCTGAGACTCGAAGGATGGTAACATAGTTACCTTGGGGCACAGACAGAAGAGAAAAAGCTACCTCGTTTGTGTAACAGAAATGCCTGTTGGCTGGGGCTAGAGCTTGGTGTGCAAGAGAATGACTATTAGAAGTGAAGGCAGGGAGGTAGGCAGAAGCCAGACTCCATGGGGCCTCAGATCACATAAAGAAATTTGATTTTTATTCTAAGTGCAGTAGATTTTTATGCAGGAAAGTAATACTACCTGAGTCTTAATTTTAAAAGACCATTCTCACTGCTATATGCCAAACTGACTGTAAGACAAAAGTGGAGGTGGGAAGACCTATTAGGAAGCAATTATAATCCAGGTGGAAAATGGTGGTGGCTTGGACTAGGGTAGTGGCAGTGGAAGGAAATTTAGGGTATATTTTGAAAGCAGAATTAGCAAGACTTGCAACTGAACTGGATGTGAAGAGTGAAGGAAAAGGATTTAAGTAGGAGCCTTGGGATTTTCGTTTGAGTAATTGGTATGATAGTAGTGTCCTTTACTGAGATGTCCAAGACTAGGGGAGGAATACCTTCAGTAAGAAAAATTAAGACTTTCATCTTGAACTTTATGGGGGGAAAGACTGTTTCTACCTTTTTTTTTTTATTTAAAAGTTTCAAAGAAGGAGTTCTGGAAAAAAACCTTTTTAATCTTCAATTTTATGAGCTCTTTACATTTGAAACTTAAGTTGAGGGAGTTGAATTTTCATTTGTTTAACCAATATTTCTTGAGCATCTACTGTGGCCGAGGACCACGTGATGCGATACCAAGACTAAGCAAACAAGACCCCTGCTCCCAGAGGGCTTTTTTCGGGGGAGAAAAAAGGGACGACTGGTGATTTTTTTCTTTTTCCTGTTCGTTGTCTTATTAAAACTTCACCTACCGCACGAGTAGCCATCTTATAACTGCATCTCGTGCTCCCTGTAGTTGGGCCCAGCGTTCTAAACGCTCGATGTCGGGTGAATAAAGAAATGAATCTCTAAGAGTGACGTCTCCCCCTCCCGCTAGAACTTAGGCTTTTGAAAAACTAAAAATTTTAACCAACAATACGAATACAACCTTTGTTTTGAAGGCTAATATTTTTGCAGGAATGGTACCTTTATAAAGATCGTGGTTGCCCCCGTACATATTTGTTCTTTCTTCATATCCAATTAAATGAAAACACTAGTTTTTCCGTAGCCCAACTCTCGGGGCTTGTTGGTCTACCTCACGAGAAAGGAAGCAGGAGCCGACGGGTTTAACAGTTGGGTGGAATCCTTCTCTACGCTCTCTCGCTAGCCGGGGACGTGGTGTCGGCTCCCCGGGGCTTCCCGTCCACGCAGTACCGGAATGAAGGAGTCTGGGAGGGGGTCGGGGAAGGGAAAGACGAGAGAGACATTAAGTAATTGGTTCTTGGCGGTATAAAATTATGTTTAGGCTCTACTCTAAAGCACCGATTTCAAACGCCCGCCCCCTGGGCCGTTTCGGTCCCGCCCCTTGTTGTCGTCACGCCGACTTCCACTTTGGCCTCCGCGGATTGGTCGCTGCCTCCGCCGCTGAAGCGCGACTGAAGAGCTCGGGGTTTGCTTCCGGGTCTTGGGTCTCGGCCCTGCGCGCAGAGCTTTCTGGGAGCCCAGAGTCGTAATGGTGTCTGTGTGATCTGCGGAGGCTGCTGCTTGGGACCTCGGCCAACGTGAGCGGCAGGAGGATCGCGGATTGTCTCTTTATCTGACTGGGGCAGGAAGGGGCGGTCGGAGTCGCAGTCGGCGGTGGAGAGGCCCCGGAGCGGTGGACGGGTGGCGGACCCCAGCGGCTCTCGGGCGCTTACAGCATCCCGGGCCGGCCGCGGAGAGGGCAGCGTGAAGGCCGCTCTGCAGACGGCGTTCAGCAGGGTCGGGGCCCCACCACCCGCCGCGGAGCCGGGCGTGGGGAAAGAGTCCGCGAGTTCCTGGTGACACCCCGAAGGCGAGCTCCTGGGAGACAGGAGTGACTATCCTGTCGGGTGTAGGAGGCGGCGGCGCCCCCAGTGGCCTGTTTCTTCCTCTCTGGATACATCCATTTTTCTTGTTTGAAAATGTAGTGTGCCAGTTCCCTAGCTTCCCCACACGCTTGCTTTTCCAATGCTAATGGGCTTTTAGTGGATTCATCTGCTATGCAGTATTCTTTTGGCTGCTCAAAACCAAAAGGAACAGGTCTCTGATTTTTGGTTTATCAGAATCCTTTGCAAGTGAGGTTCCTGTTTTTTGAGCATTGCGTAACTTATAACCTGCAAAAGATCTAATTTATCTGATGATGGCTGCTGTAAGAGAAAATTAGATCAAAAAAAGGACGTTGGAGAATTTTGATTATGTAACTGTCATTGAAGTTTGGCACAGTTTCACTCAGTTAACTTAGTGATTTAAAAAAATTTTTTTTTGTTTTTGTAGTTACTAGCCTATTTTCTGTTGTGTGAGGTTTAGATAAAATCCAAACCTTAGGGAGTCTGGTGGAGTAAGGTTGAGCTGAGAATTTTTAAAACTCAGTCACAGCAGTACTGTATGTTACAAGGCTTTGACATGTTGAGTCTCATAATTTTCGTAGTAATCCTATGGGGAATATTTCCATTCCACAGAAACTTAAGCTAGGTGATTTGCCCAAGGCCACAGAGCTGGAAGGAGAACAGGAACACAAACTCCCATCTTCATGATGGAATGTTTTGCACTAAATAAGAGCTAAGAAGCCATATTCCTTGTACTCTCTGAGCCTCATTATTTGTTTTCTTGAGAACTTCTGTTTGAGATTATTTAAGTAAATTTTGGAGAATGAGTTTCGGAAAATGTTTCACAAGGATGGACAGTGATTAATACTTTATAAAATGAGAGTTTGTCGTATTGGAAATAACTTGATACTGTTTTTCTTCAAAGCGTAAAAGATGACAACAGCAGCTAGGCCAACTTTTGAACCTGCACGAGGTGGGAGAGGAAAAGGAGAAGGTGATTTGAGCCAACTCTCAAAGCAGTATTCAAGCCGAGACCTACCTTCTCATACAAAGATAAAATACAGGTAATGAAGACTTTTTGTTTGTTTGTTTACAAAGCAAGACCAAATCTGTTAAATGGCGTGGTCATGAGATACTAGCATGTTTGGGTTATATCACTTAAATTATCTATTTTCCTAGGAGTAGAATTCAATAGAGTATTTAACAGTAAAATTATGCTCCATGACTGTAAAATACTACTAGATATTTCTTATGTAGAAATTCCTACTAACTAGGGATTTCCATGTGTAGATGAAACAATAACTAATACATTACCTGAGAGGGACCAAGCACTATCAACATTAATCAGTATGAGATTAAAAGTTTACAATAACAGTGAGCCAGCCTTGATGGCCTGGTGGTTAAAGTTCAGCATGCTCTGCTTCAGTGGCCCAGGGGTGTTGCCGGGTGTAGAACCACACCACTCATCTCTCAGTAGCCATGCCATGGTTGTGGCTCACATAGAAGAACTAGAAGGACCTACATCTAGAATATACAACTATGTACTGGGGCTTTGGGGAGGGGGAAAAATAAAGAGGAAGATCGGCAACAAGTGTTAGCTCTGGGCAAATCTTTCCCAGCAAAAAAAAAAAGGTGTTACAGTAATGAGCCCTGAGTTGACATGACACGCTAACAAAAAGTAAAGATGTTTTAATCAATCTGCAGCCTTAGTATGGGAAAATATGTGTTTCAGTTTGGGCTTCTTGAAATGTTGGAAACATCACAAAGATGCCTGTTAGTAACCTTCAGATTAGGGTAATGATCTTGTCCAGTTCCCTCTTAGGCTTGAGGGACTCAAGGACACAGTTGCTTTTTGTGAGTTGTCTTCCATTGCTACAGCCACGTGTTTCTTTAGTAACATTTTGCCCTCATTTGTTTCCACTTTAGACAGACCACTCAGGATGCCCCTGAGGAGGTTAGGAACCGTGACTTTAGGAGAGAGTTGGAAGAGAGAGAGAGAGCTGCTGCAAGAGAAAAAAATAGAGATCGCCCAAACCGAGGTACCAACACTGCCCCAGATATTTTTCTCATAAAATTATGTTGACAATTGTTTTTCTTTCATTCACTAATTAGGTTAATATTTGTGTTTGCTGTAAAATTGGTGAGAGCTGTGACACTTCCTCAAATGATTAGATTAGAGATGATAATGAGGTTGATTCCAGTTTCATCTATTTATGCTTCTGTATTAAAAGGCACAGGGTGATCTGGAGATGTTCAGCAGCCCTTGTTTCAGTTCAGATCAAGTTTTTGACTGTTTACAGTGGCCGGACTTTTTGAGGCCCCATGGTTCTACTATGAGGTTCTCCTATTTTCTTACTGGCTATTGGAAGACATCTAGGGGCATCAGTTATAATACCTTTTTTATATTTTCAGCATATGTAAACTATTCCCTAAATTTCCTGAGAGAGGCTACAGTTCCCATGTTAAAATCAGTACTTTCATGAATTCATTCAACAAATATTTACCAAGGCTTATTTGCCAGGCTGTGGTTCTGAACCCTGCTGTCATGATGCCTGTAGTCTAAGCTTTTTGTGCCCACAGGTCCCTAGAATGTTGTGAGAAATGCAGTGTTTGTTTTAGTAAGCGAAATGATGTTTGTTTTTCCGCAGAACATACAACCTCCTCTTCAGTATCAAAGAAGCCTCGGTTAGACCAGATTCCCGCTGCCAACCTCGATGCGGACGATCCTCTAACAGATGTATGTTTTGTTTCCTCCCTTCATCTCCATATAGTAATTTATTTATCATGTTTTTTGAAATACTTTTTTTATTCTTTTGGCTTTAAGAAGCGTCCTACATTTATTTTTACTTGCTGTTAGTCAAATGTAGCCCTGACTTCAGTGCTAAACTTCATAGTTGATTTTAAAACAAAAAGTATTATTTTCTGGTTAATTAAACCTCAAGAACAAGTTTCATCTCCAGACAACCAAATAAGTAGTCTGTTAAAGGATGTGCTTCCCCAAAAGTAATTTCCTATATTAAACCCTGGAGATTGAATACCATATTACACACCTCCGGAGGGCAAACTTCGTCCTCGGCTCTCAATTAATAACACCCCCTAGATTTGAATCCAGGGGCCTTTCCACATTAAACACCAAAGATGCTCCCTCCTGATGAGCACTACACTTAAGGGCTCCCTCTATGCTTAGGGAGGAAGTGAGCTAAGTGGAAGGTTTTTAGGATTAGTGCTTCAGTTAACATTAAAATTCAGTGGGACCCTACAGTCTGTAATTAATTTGCAGTTTTCTACATACAGTGGAAAAATCTGAGCAACCTTTCATGGGTAGCATCTAACTAAGCACATACATCAGCAGTTAGTCTAAAGATGACAGATTGAATTAAATAAACTCAGTAATTAACTAAAGGGAACCCAGTTTTAAGTGAGATCTAATGTTTATTCATCTGAAATTATTCTGAGAATTTAGCACCCTTTTTTGGACTTTTGATTATCCTTACTTCCTAGTTTAAAGTTTTGAACTATGTAAAATTATTTGACTCTCAGGGTGATACACTGTGTACATATGTACTGTGTATCTGTGTAAAGTATTCCTTTTCTGACTTTAGGACTATTCTCATGTAAATTCCTGTTTAATCATGTAAATTTAAAACATACTATTTGCCATTATAATCTCTCCAACACATCAGGCGTTGACATTTTACTAAGAATTCATAAGCTTTTTTGTGGAGCTTTGTTTTTTGGTTGGTAGTTGATTTAAATCATATTTAGGTGCATTTTATTTCCCAGTAGGAAAATTAATCCTGTCCCAAAGATTTGGTAAGTGCAGTATTTATGGAAGAGTATGAATAATGTGCATTTTCTCTCTGATCTCCTGGGCCATCACCTTTCTTTTTCAGGAGGAAGATGAAGATGAAGATTTTGAAGAGGAGAGTGATGATGATGATACTGCAGCTCTTCTTGCAGAACTGGAAAAAATTAAAAAAGAAAGAGCCGAAGAGCAGGCCAGAAAGGTAAAATCAAAGTATTAAATATTTACATCTTCCTCCATCTTCTCACATATACTAAACTAGAAATATTCTTAATTCAGGTAATATTAGAAATCGTCCTTGCCATGTCTAGATACAGCACCTGTAGATCTATAAATCTGGTTATTTTTGTGGCATCCTAAGTCTCCTGGTTATGTTAGAAATCCTCTCCAAATAGTTCAGACACACCTAATAATACTCAGCAAATCGCTCTTCATTCACTTAATTGTTCATTTGTTCAGCAGACATTTGGTCAGTATCTACTAAGTGTCAGAAGAATCAAAGACAATTAAGATATGGTCATGGCCTACAGAGAACCCACAGAATGATAAGGCCATTGTATCTGTCTCTTTGTCTTGTGCTCCCTGCCTTCTGTCCAGGCACTTGTTAGTGCAGTCTGTCAGTAGATTTCATATCACCCAGGGCAATTCACATAACTTCCCAAGTGCCCACAGTCTCTCCCTTTCTACAATGGAAGAAAACCGTGTCTAACTCAAAGATAGTCATAAGGATTAAATAGGATCCATAGTACTTACCTTTAAACTTGGAGTGAATTCCCCTAGTAGTAACAATAAGAGATGAAACTGGGGAGGCATGAGCAGGTCAGAGCATCAGAGGTTTGTAAACCAATGCTAAAGGAGTTTGGACTCTGTTTTGAAGGATATGAGAAGCTAGTTGATTTCAGCAGGAGGTTGATAAGATTGGATAGAGATTTTAGAAGGATTATTCTGGCAGAAATATGGAGGGTGGATTAGAAAGAACTGATTTAAAGGCTGTTCCAATCCTGCTCACATGCAGCTATGAGAATCTTGCATAATTGGAATTGAAAGAAGTAAACAGATGCTGATAGAGCTATCAAGAAGGGGCAATTGACCAGATAAAGTGACTGATTGGATATGACAGCAAAGATGACCCCCAGTTTCTGGGTAACTGTTGGTGCCATGCACTAATACAGGGAATGCAGAAGGATGGGAGAGAAAAGAGATGAGTTCTTTTTGGAACATGTTGAATTTGACATGCTATGAGACATTCAAGTATGGATATCTGCCTGCTTTCGAATAGAACAGCTCAGCTCTGTTTTATGGGCTTTTATGGAAGATTTCATTTGGGCCAAGAATTGTTCTGTTGAAAAAAAAAGAAGGAAAGAACCAGCCCTGATGGCCTAGTGGTTACAGTTGAGTGCTCTCACCAGTTCGGCAGCCCAGGTTGGTTTCCCTGTCGCGGAACCACACCACCCGTCTGTCAGTGTGGTGCTGTGGCGGCAGCTCACATAGGAGAACTAGAAGGACTTACAACTGTGATATACAGCCATGCACTGGGGCTTTGGAGAGAAGAAAAAAAAAAGAGGAAGATTGGCAACAGGTGTTAGCTCAGGGTGAGTCCTTCCCTGCAAAAGAAAAAGAAAAAGGGGAAAAAGACTTGGGGAACTGACCACTGTAGGTTACTGCAAGGAATCTAGGGAAGTAGAAGACTGCTAGAATTCAGATTGGAAGAAGAAAAATAGTTTAAATACAATTCTCATCAAAGTTTGGCATAGGATAGCAAAATTCCTATAATAGCTTATAATTTTTATGTCTAATTTTGCAAAATCAAATAATTAAAAGAACTTTTCTGATATCACTTGCACACCACTAGAGGGCAGTCGTTCTATTCCAGGTTCGTTTGGCTTGCCTAACAGTTCTGGATACATAAAGAGACAAACGATTTAAATGCATTTCGTTGACTCTTAGGGAGGATAAACACTTTAGACCAAAGGTCTTACAATTTTGTGAGGTTCATCTAATCTCTTTGTACAAAAATGTCTTGGTGTTTCTTGGGGTTGAATGACAGTTTTATTTCTTTTGTCCCTGTTTCCCTTTCTGGTTTTCTAGTGGCTGATTTTTGAAGTGTCCCGAAATAACATTTTCAAACCAGTCAGCCTATGTCAGGGGCTAGGAAACTGTCTGTAAAGGGCCAGATAGTAAATATTTTAGGCTTACGGGCAATACAGTCTCTGTTGCAGTTGTTCAGCTCTGCTTGTTCTAGCACGAAAGCAGCCATCGACAACACATAAATGAATCGGTGTGACTGTGTTCCAGTAAAATTTTATTTACAAAACCAGGGTGGTTTAGATTTGACCTGCAGGCCATTGACTGTTAGCCTGTGTTCATGAAGCGTCATGTGCCTGGTACTTGAATATGCAAAGAGTTGCCACCTTTTTTTTCCAGTGCTAAGTGTGGCAATCAGCCAGTTATTCTAAAGGAAATAATGTTCCAAACATAAAATGGTCAGGACCACTAACATCATTATTATAGGTTTGCATGCATTGTATACTTGTGTTCCTATTTCCATAGCATCTCAGAGAAGTGTCTTTTCACTTTCAGCATCAATATAATTTGTTAAAAATAAATGTATCCTTTTTAGAAAGCTGTCTTTTCTTACTCTTATGTTGGATGTTCCTGACTTTATTTGCTTAAGGTCTAAGCAGTGACCTAAAGGAATTTCACTGTTTGTTTCCCTGAAAATTGCATTTTCTTACCTCCCGGTTATTTGGCCTCATAAAAAAGAAATCCACTGTTCACACTGGGATATTAAAGTATCATTAACCTGTATAGGAAATTAGGTTATTTTTCCAAGTGGTCTAACACTTTGTTAGGTTCATTTTAAATTGACTTCCAGAAAGTGTCTTTTTTCTTGATCTGTTAATCTGTTATCCCCCAAATGGCAAATTGGGATTTATCTTTGGTTTAAGATAACATGGAATCAGGTAGATCTAGGACTTACGGCTAAGGATTTTAGACATTTTATATTCCTAATTCTAAGAATGAAACTGCTGTTGATTCGAGTTCAAAGAGGTTAATGCTAATAAAAGTGTAGAAAGACAAGCTTATAACTGATGCAGGATGAGAGGTATAAAAATAAAAAGTCAGGGGCCGGCCTGGTGTAGAGCGGTTAAGTGCACACGTTCTGCTTTGGCAGCCCGGGGTTCACTGGTTCCGATCCTGGGTGCGGACATGGCACGGCTTGGCAAGCCATGCTGTGGCAGGCGTCCCATGTATAAAGTAGAGGAAGATGAGCACGGATGTTAGCTCAGGGCCAGTCTTCCTCAGAAAAAAGAGGAGGATTGGTAGCAGTTAGCTCAGGGCTAATCTTCCTCTAAATAAATAAATAAAATAAAATAAAATAAGTCTGTAGCAATAAAGCATAACAAAATTGATAAACCTCAGGTAAATTAGTAGAAATGCATATTGACTGAATATAATTTTTTATGTGATAGTTTGTCTTATTTTAGGAGATGTTTCTTGGTTAATAATAACTTGTCACCAATCCTAGAGATACAAGTTTACATTGTTAGTAATTCAAAATAAAATTATTTTTAATCACAGTTATGTATAGCCATTTTTTAAAAATTGAGTAATAGCTTTGCTAAATGAGTCTTTCTGATATTTAATACGTTCTTAAATTATTAGAATATGTTTATTGGTGTACTCTCTTAAATTTTATGTGTACTTTGAGTAAGAATAGATTTAAGTATGCATCTCAAGAATTTCTGAATCAGAAGAGACCAATGAATATATGATGGCAAATATGAAATATATATAACAAAAATACCAAATTATTTTGACAAGTGAGACTTTTCTGGTATCTCTTAAAAACAAACAAAAAACAACACTACCTTGAGGCTTATCCCATCTCCCACATAAAATCCTTAACAGTCTTTTAAAATATGGGCTATATCAGAAGATTGGCACTGGAGTTAATAGAACTAAATTTGAATTTTCCCCTGTCATTGAAAGGAACAAGAACAAAAAGCTGAAGAAGAGAGGATTCGTATGGAAAACATTCTGAGTGGAAACCCTCTCCTTAACCTCACTGGCCCATCCCAGCCTCAGGCCAACTTCAAAGTTAAAAGAAGGTACTATACAGTAATGGGTTGGCGATATGTATACACACAGAGTATGAGTTTTATAGCAAACAGTATTATGTAGAGCTTCTAAAATCCCAGTTTTTCCTGATATTCTTTTTTTTAATCAGAGTTTGAAATAATGGAACAAGGAGAATGAAAGAAAATAAACTTATTTTCAATAGATACAGTAACCAGCTGCATACCAGATATTGTTCTAAGCTCTAGAGACTGAGCAATGCACTGAGCCCTTAACCCTACAAAGCTTACATTTTAGGTGTATGTGTCAAGGGTCCCCAAAACCACCCTCCACGTTCGGACACTCACTAGAAGGACTCCGGACTCAGCATATAGTTGTACTTACAACTAATGTAGTAAAGATACACGGCCAGATCATAAGGGGAAAGGCACTGAAGGGATCCATGTGCACGCTTCCTTATGCTCTGTCCCTCCCATGAGGGGTCACACAGAGCATGTTCTTTCCCCTAGCAGTGAATATACAGCTTCATGTCTGTGGTGTTTCTGCCCAGGGAAGCCCATTAGAGACTCCATGCCCAAGGTTTTTATTGGGAGCCAGTCATATAGGCAACCTCTGCCTAGCACATACCAAAATCTAGACTCTCCAGAAGGAAAGCAGGTGTTGAGCATAAACCACATTATTTGTGCAAAGAGTCTAGGCACAGTGTAGGGGAGAGGATTCCTGAAATCCAAGTTTCCAAATGCCAGCCAAGGGCTGACCTTGCAAGCGGGCCTTTCTAAGCATAGCAGTCTCAGTCCTGCCATCTGAACTCTTTTTCTGTACAGTGTGTTTGTTTGGAATGGTGAAGTAGAGGCTGAAGAGGGAGAGAGTAGAAACAGTAAATACTGTATATGGTACTTTGGATAGTGATATGTAGGAAAATCAAATAGAAAAGCATATAGGAAGTGCTGAGTGGGAGGGAGGTTTAGTTGGTATTTTATGTAAGTGATCAAGGAACCCTGTAGGCTTAACTGTTAAACCATATCTATTATTTCTTCCTGCCTCCCGTGCTACCATCTGGTGTGATGTGGTACCCATAACTGGTTTCCCGTTGCATGCTCCCCACCGTCTCCATCCCCACCCCCAGTTTTTTCTTAACACAGCAGCATCATGGTCCTTTTAAAGTGAAAGATGATAACCTCCTGTTGTAAACTGTTCAGCGGCTTCCTAACTCATTCATAGTAAAAACTCGAGTCCTTACAATGGCAACAGTGTAGTCAAGGAAGGATTTGCTGGGAAGGTGACATTTTATCCAAGATATTTGACCTGAGTAATTGAAAGGCTAGAGATGGGGAAGAATGTAAACTGAGGTTGTGGGTGGGGGAGGTGGCATGTTTAAGACACAGTGAGTTTAGGATGTTATATGCATCTGGGTGGAAATGTTGAGTAGGTAGCTTGATACACAGTTCTGGAGTTAGTCCAGGTTAGAGGTAGTGAGTTTGGGAGCTGTCAACTTAGAGAAGTCGTCTAAAGCCTCGAAGACTAGATGAGATTACCTAGGGAATGAGTATAGCTAGAGAGAAGTCAGAGGACTGAGCCTGGGATAATGCTGAGAGCTTGGGTAGGGGATTAGCTATCAGTGCCTGGAACAGTGCCTGGTATGTACTGGGTGCTCAGTAAATCTTGACTGAGTGGCTTTTGAGTGAAAAAGCTAGGCTGAGAAGGAGCACCCAGTGAGGAAGGAGGAGAACAAGAAGAGATGGGTGGGTGTCTTGGAAGCCAAGCAAGCAAAGCGTTTCAAGGAGGGGATGATTATCTAGGTCCAATATCGGTGACAGGGTGAGCAGAATGAGCTCTGCGAAGTGGCCGTTGCATTAGCAGTGTGGAAGAGCAGTTTTGATGTTGAGAAGGAGGGGCTGAAAGCCTGTTGGCAGTGAGTTGAGAGAGTGGAAAGAAAAAACAACATCGATTGTATTTATATTAAACTATATAGCTTATTCTTCTGCCTTGATTGGATGCAGATGGGATTGTTTGGAGATAGCAACGTGTCTTAATATGCAGGTCACGCTTGCCCTGGCTCTGCTCGGCTGTTCACATTTCCCTGTGCTGCACCAGCGAGGACTTTACTGTTTTCCAAAGATGGCCGCCCTCGTTCTATGCTTCCTTTCCACATGCGTTTCCTCTGGCATGCATACACGCACACACACATCATATGGGCTTGCGTTTTATATAGATTTGTGAGAGTATATATATTACATATGTGGGTTTGTGTTTTACATGCGAGGTGATATTTTGAAATCATACTCATTATTTTCTAGAAAACATATTTTGTAGCCCATCCATGGGGTTTTTTATGTTTACATGTTATGAAATCAAACCAGAAGAATCCAACCGGCGTCCTGCCCTATCCCCAACTGCTGCTTCCCCCTGGTCAGTGTGGATGTGGCCAATACATGAGCCTTGATTGTTAGACCCCAGTAGTTTCTTCTCCTTCTGTTGTCCTAAAACGTCAATACTTACACCTGAAACTAATATAATACGGTATGTAAATGACACCTCAATAAAAAGCCAACCAAAAAGATGTGAACACTACAGTGGATGATTACTAAATGTTAACTGGTGAAACAGTTTATAAATCCTTGAAACCACATAATCTAAACAACAGTAAATTGGTCACTTATCATCTAGAGCGTCTATTAATCATGGTAGTGCCAGGTGCTGCCACTCTGATTTAGATCTGAAAACACTAAATATTTATGCAAGTAAAATGTATGTAGTTTCTGCTTTTTAACTCAGTTTCGTACACTGGAGAAATAAGAAGATGGTTTTGTATGTTCTAAATGGGAATTGCCTTTCCTGCTATAATAAAGCAAGATGATAACCTGTTAAGAATTTCTTTATTCTTTGGGGTGTACTTGCTGCATTGAATCACGTACATGTTGAACATCATTCTGTAATGCCTACGCTTTGCAGTTCACACGGTGTTCTCGTCTCCTGATAAACAAGCGTTATAAGAGTGTTCTGTTTCCTTTTTTTCCTTCAGGTGGGATGATGATGTTGTTTTCAAGAACTGTGCAAAAGGTGTAGATGATCAGAAGAAAGACAAAAGATTTGTAAATGATACGCTGCGATCTGAATTTCACAAAAAGTTCATGGAGAAATATATTAAATAGTACAGTTTTATGTGCTTAATGAAAGCCTGTAAAATGTAAACGATCATTCTGACTTTATTTCAGTTAGTTTTTTTTTTCTCTTTCCCCTTACCTTAATTGTGTATAGGCTTCCCTAATTTTAAGTTACAAAATATCTTTTCCTTTATCAATACCTTATTTGATAAGGACTTGGGAATTGGTATAACCCAGCTTCCATTCTCTGAATGTTTCCAGTAATATGTTTTCTTTTCAATATGGGAAAGGGAATCTGCTTGTAATAAATATTTTTAATAATCTAAATAACGTATCTATGTCCCCAACTTTCTTGTTGAAATGTATGCAGCTTATAAAACATGGCATATTTTCTTTTGTATATTGTATTTCTTTGTGCACTAATTTTTTCCCCTCATTTCTCTACATTCTTCTAAGTTCAGTTAATTCATGATATCTAATCTGTGTTTTTTAAGAGTATGAGGAAAGATTAAAGGGATTCTGTTTTGGACTGCATGTTGGTATGGAGGAGTGTCATCAATCAGGAAGCACCTAAGAGTGTCAGAGGAGCATAGGGTAGCTCTCCCTTCTGCAGGCACTGCTTCCCTTCTCTTGGCCCAAGACAAGGGCTCCTTCAGCATGTCTAGAAGCATGAGGCACTCACTGTGTTCTGGATATTCAGCTGCCATCTGTCTGTTGAATGAAATAGTTTGCACACTGACACACATTAGTTGCAAAGCCTAGGAAAGTTTAACATCAAACAGCACATGAAATAAAACCTTTGCAAATAGGATTTTGTTTGTTTGTTATCTTGGAGGATATGTCTTTGGTAAGCGTGAGTGTCTGCACAGCTGGGAAATGAAGCTTTCCTAAACCTGGACTATGATTTTAAGGATGTCACTTTGATAGAAAATTTGGGACCAGAAATTGAGCCCTCTACAGATAGAGACCCATTCATAGGATTCCTCAGCTGTGAATGATCTTGAGCTTGGTAAAATTAAAGATTAAACTTTTAAAGCAAAAATAACTTGGTCTTTATCACTGGCTGTTTATTTAATCCTTTGTCTAAGCTCCATTCGCTACTCCAGCATTTCCCCAGTGGAAGCTCGGACACAGGTTGTAGCTGGACTCAAGAGTAGGGCTGGAGCTGGAGCCCAGGTCTTGACTCCACGTTCATGCTCTGCAGTTTTTTTTTTTAACTGAGCTATTTACACAATATTTTGAATACTTCAGTGTTTTTTTTAAAGCCTTTTATCATATTAAAACATTTTTATCTCCAACTTTACAATTTATAAAGTTCCTTTACATTCATTTTCAATTTTCTTCGTAGCAACACTTAGGTAGGAAGAAAGTACTGGGTTCTTCAAAATTAAGGAAAATGAAATTCAGGCTGAGTGACTGGATGAGGTTAATAGTGATGGGCCATGCATGTGTGCCTTAAAACTACATGAAAATGTGTTTACAGGTGTGAGACATTAGATTTCCAAAATTAGTTCTTAGGATTATGGGTAAAGGCTTGAAGAAAAGTGGCAGCACTTTATCATATAAGCTCTTTAGTATCTGAAAGGCATGTACCTCGTACCAGGGCTGTGATGTAGGTGCACTATTTCTCCAAGATCCACTTCGGATTCCCTATTTGAGCCTGAGAGGTTCAGGAAGAATCAGAGTAAAGCTCATTTCAATGATTTCTTTCTCCTTTCCCCAATATTTTCCAATGTAAAATGGCATTGGGTAACCGGTCATAGATCCAGGACACACGTAAGTGTTACAGTTTCAGCTCTCAGATTTACAATACAGATAACAGCCTTCTTAGTTAACGTGCCTTCCCACCTCCTTGCAAAACATCTCGGGTTGGCGTGATTGAGAAATCTGTCTAGTCCCGCCAGGGGCCCACGCTCAGTGCAAAGAGCCAGGGCTTCGAAGCCAGATGCAGCTGCCCAGCACTGTCACTTGGGGCTTTGCCGGAGCCAACATGGAATGTCGACCAGGTGTGCTGGTACTGCATCCATTGAATGGACACCACGCCCTGTAAGGGAGGCATTGTGATTTTCCCTGTTTTATGGACAAGGGAATGGAAGTTTGTAAGAGAAGTTTAAAAACAAAGTCATAAATCTTTAAGGGGATGGGGCCAGATTCAAACCTGGAACTGTCTTTATTCTAAAGCCCATCCTCTTAACTGCTGTGCTTGACCGGCCTTCATGTTAATCAGTCCTTCTGACTTTTCTCACCTACGAAACAATAGTAATGAGACAAACCTAAGGGAGTTTGGTGGGAATTAATAATATAAGGCCTATCTGGGCAGGCACATAGTAGGGATTTCATACATGTTCTCTTTCTATCTGCCTCTACTAGCATATAGCAGGGTCTGGCTACAAGTGTGAAAGCCCGTTGTTTGTTCTATTGTAGAGGTCTGGGTCTGAATTAAGAGCTTCTCGAGCCTGTCAGAGCTTGCGTTGGGCAACAGGTAGGACCTAGACAGGGATTGCTTTTGTTTGGTTTCTAGGATTAGAAACCTGGTAACAGAAACTCAAGTGAAATAGAGGTTTATCTTAAGAATACTTAATGCTGCAATGAACATAGGGATACATAAATCTCTTTGAATTGTTGATTTCTTGTTCTTTGGATAAATTCCTAGTACTGGGATACCTGGATCATATGGTATTTCTATTTTTAATGTTGAGAAATCTCCATACTGTTTTCCATAATGGCTGCACCAGTTTGCATTCCCACCAGCAGTGTATGATGGTTCCCTTTTCTCTACATCCTCTCTAACGTTTATTTCTTGCCTGGTTAATTACAGCCATTCTGATGGATATAAGGTGATATTATATTGTAGTTTTGATTTGCATTTCCCTAATAATTAGTGATATTGAACATCTTTTCATGTGTCTGTTGGCCATCTGTGTATCTTCTTTGGAAAAAATGTCAGTTCATATCCTCTGCCCATGTTTTGATCAGGTTATTTGGTTTTTGTTGTTCAGTTGTATGACTTCTTCATATGTTTTGGAAATTAACCCCTTGTAGGATATATGAGTTGCAAATATTTTCTCCCAGTTGGTGGATTGTCTTTTTTTTTTGGTTCATGGTTTCCTTTGCCTTTCAGAAGCTCTTTAGTCTGATGTAGTCCCATTTGTTTATTTTTTCTTTTGTTTCCCTTGCCTGAGTAGACATGGTATTCAAAAAGATACTGCTAAGAAGTTTTTCACAAGAGCCAAGATGTGGAAACAACCCAAGTGCCCATCAAGGGGTGAATGGATAAAGAAGATGTGGTATATATATGCAATGGATACAGATGATGTGGTATATACATAGAATGGAATACTACTCAGCCATAAAAAAAGACAAAATTGTGCCATTTGTGACAACATGGATGGACCTTGAGGATATTATGCTAAGTGAAATAAGCCAGACAGAGAAAGACAAACACCATATGTTTTCACTCATATGCGGAAGATAAACAAACACATGGATAAAGAGAACATGTTAGCGGTTAGCAGAGGAGAAGGGGATGGGGAGAGGGCAAAAGGGGGAAAGGGGCACATGTGTATGGTGACGGATAACAACTAGACTGTTGGTGGTGAACATGATGCAGTCTATGCAGACACTGATATATAATAATGTACATCTGAAATGTTAAGCCAATATGACCTCAATAACATAATTTTTTAAAAAAAGAATGCTTAGCAGTCACCTCTGTCGAGCTCTTACTCGGCTTCTCTCTATTCATCTGCCCTACTTCCTCTGCAAGACTAGACTTCTGCACCATAAAACAAGACATACTCATTCATGCTCCTGGCTTCCCTGGGAGTCTTCATGCCCTCATACCTCCACTGGCCAAGAGAGCCTCTGGATCCTGAAGCAAAGCAGGTCCAGTGAGCAGGGGCCAGGAACCAAGTTACCTGGTACAAATGTGGGCAAGAGCAGGGAGATGTGGACCGTCCAATCTCTAGCACAGACACAGCTTGAGACACTCAGCTGCTCACAGGGTGGACAAAAGTTAGAAACACTTCACAGCTGTGACTCCAGTCTCAGGAGTAGCACCTGCATCTCCCTCCAGCATGTAGCACCATGCTGGGCACATAACAAGGGCTGGCCTCTGCCCCTACTGCAGGCCTGGGCACAGGCACAGTCATACCCAGGGGGAAAAGCTGGGAGCCAGACAGCAGAGGCCTGGGAGTCCTGCCTGGGTCAGTTTCCTGCTGGACACTGGAAGTACCAGCACCAGGGAGCAGGGTGGTGCTTGTCCTGTCTTTGAGGCTCCTTCTTAGAAGGAGAACTGATTAGACTGAACCACTCCTCGGCAGGGAGAGGGGGGAGCAAATGAAAGGGAGAAGAGGACAGCTGGAGCTTCTGGGGTCTGGGATATTGGCCCCCATCCTCACTTCTCTGGATCAAGGTCAGCAGAACACAGAAGAAATAGGACTAACCTTGGAGCCGTCTTTCAATAAATGCTCGGTGCCATTTTCTTTGTGGCGATGGTGTTGGGATGTAGCACTCACACCTTCCTCTAAATCACACCCCCACACCGCCCCCTACACACATCCTAGCTCTTGGAATCTTTTTACACGGAAGCTCTTTTAGATATTTTTCATTTTCATTTTTAAAAATGTCCTGTTCTCGCCTGGCTTAGTTCTCAGAGGCACCTTAGCAGGGGAAAGAGGAGGAGGAAGAAATCAGTCGTGTTCACACTCTCTCGAGAGGCATCTGCCAGATTTCCTCTCCAGGGTGCTCTGTTCATCTTACCATATTGTCAAACAGCCTCCCTTGTGAGAAAACAGGCGGAGAAATGACTCCTGAAGCCCACAGACTAATTGGGAGAAACTTCCTAGGAACTTCGCCGTCTTCGCATGGGCTAGAGTCTGAGGAAGTCGGGAAAGGAGTGGAGGCCTACATAACTTTTCGACTTTTTGAGAGGGAAGGTTCTAATGTCATCCTGAGATTTCATCAACACGCACACCTCCTTGAAGGTCTCTCTCCGCGCCTCAGAGACCTATCTCCAGAGGGAGGGATAAGTAAGCTCTGGGAGCTGAGTCACTCTCTTGAAGAGTTTACTTCAAAGAAGCCACAAGGGCAAAAAAAGCTGCCGATGAGGGGAGAACTGGGATAACAGAAGTGGCAAAGCTCTCAGAGAATCAAAGCATATTCCCCAGGCAGCGGGCCCTACAGACACCACAGAGCCTGCCCAGGCTCTCTGCCCACCACGCCCCCCGCCCCCGCCAGGCCACGCCCTCCCCACAGCCCGGGAATTGCTGCTACCACGCCACTTCCCTGTTTAAACCCTTCGATAAAGAGTCCCCATTTACGAAATTTAATGGAAAACAATCCCATTCATGAGAGCTACAGAAAATGTAAAACACATAGTCCCAAACTTAGCAAGGAGGGGCAGAACCTCTGAGGAAAACTCTAATTCTTCCTCTCAGGCATTAAAAGAAGCTTTAATAAACGTGAAGAAATACATATTCCTGGATGGGAAGACTCAATAGGTAAAAATATCCGTTTTCCACCCCCCCAAAATTATTATGAAATTCCAGGAGGTCGGGATTTTTTAAATTGAGGTTTTGACCGAATTATTTTTAAATTTTCTGTTAAAATAAATTTGTAAGAACATCCAGAAAAAAAAAATCTGGCAAGGAAAAATAATAGCAGTGTTTCCCTACCAATTTTAAAATGAATTATAAATATATAAAAAATTAGTGTGGTGCTGGCACCAGAATAGAAATAAGGGGGAAAAAATGGAACATAATAAGAAAGTCCAGAAATAAATGCAAGTACATAAAGTAATTTTGTGTATAAGAGAAGTTTGGGGGCCGGCCTGGTGGCTGAGTGGCTAAGTTCGTGCACTCGTCTTTGGCGGCCCAGGGTTTCACCGGTTCAGATCCTGGGCATGGACCTAGCACCACTCATCAGGCCACATAGCACAACCAGAATGACCTACAACTGGAATATACAACTATGTACTGGGGGGTTTTGGGGAGAAGAAAAAATAAGAGGAAGGTTGGCAATAGATGTTAGCTCAGGGCCAATCTT